CTCTCTCTCTCTCTCTCTCTCTCTCTCTCTCTCTCTCTCTCTCTCTCTCTCTCTCTCTCTCTCTCTCTCTCTCTCTCTCTCTCTCTCTCTCTCTCTGTCTGTCTGCCTGTCTCTCTCTTTCTCGCCCACTTTTATATTTCTATCTTCCTTATTCTATTTTTCTCCCCATCTCCCTCTGACCCTCTCACTTACGTACATTTGTGAGCGCGTGCGATACTCATTCGCAGAACCTGCACATTCTATCTCACACACTTCAAAATTGCACATGAGCACGGGTTTTCACCTCTTGCTGCCTACACAATTAGGTACTACTTTTTGGTATATAGTATCTTCACTCCTCATCGCGGTCTTCTTCTCTCCACACCACACGTATTATAGAACTAGCGAGTTTGTTTTGCCAGCTGCAATACATTTCCTATAAGTTCGAGTTGCCTTTTTACTTGAGGCTTGATAAGTATATTCCTATTTTGTTCTGCTGCGCTCATAAATTACCGAAGATTAGCGACCGTTCGGCGTACATAAGCTGGAATTAAAATTGTATGCATTTTCTCCATTACACTCGGTTCGATTGAATGTATCTATACGTATGCATACATGCGTGCGTGCGTGCGAGCGAGCGTCAGTTCAGAGAGAGGTGCGCATGCATGCGCACACGTGTATGTGCACACTTGTGTGCTTGTACGCGTGTATGTGTGTGCATCTTGCGTTTTATCTTTAGTTGGAATAGCAGTTTTTAGATACACGATTCTAGTTTTGAATATCAAAGTTAGTTTCATTGATTCGGGGAACTCAGGTATGAAATTGTGTAAAATTCTCCAAACTGCCAGAACGAATATTAACTGCTGCCTACCTACATTCCTAGTTCATATAGATGTTAACGAATGAAATATAGTACCTAATCAAGTTTTATAATGCTGCTGTTTGTGCTTTCTGTATTGTAGTACATAGCTAAGGATGGAATTTGGAGGGTACGCCTAACTATTGCTTTGCTGATCTCTTGAATTCCTACACATATCGAGCATTTTGTTGCGTGATACTTCAACGCATTTAATACACTTTGCACATGCGTTTACGTTGCAGATGTCCCGTATAGCATGTTTCATTACTTGCTGTCTCGGTACAAGCCCCATTTCCCTAAGGCTTTTATTTGCTGTAGTAGTGTTTCATATTGTAGAATGCATCATTTTACAGTCAAGCCAGTTATAGGTTTATATGCCACCATGACTTGCATGTTGACCCCCCCCCCCCCCTCTCTACTTCTAGTGTATATCCTCAATCGGTGCATCATTCCCATTTGTTTTTATCTTCATTTCAATAATTTTTATTCTGATTTTATTATTCTCGTGTCTTCTGATAGAAATCTGCATAGATCGTAACATTACGGAATTTACGTATGATAATGACTCAATATTTGATAAATGTAACCAAGTTTGGTAACAGTAACGTTCAACTGCTCACTGACTGAGTAATAACTTGCGTACGTGTGGAAAATAGCATTTAAAACAAACCTATACAACCATAAAGACTATAAAACTACAGAATGTAGGCGTATTCGTGGGATTCACTAATAGTTTTTAATTGAAAGCTATTCAGTTCCTGCATCCTTTCATGTATAGCTTACTGCGTTGCTTTGTTTGCAGATGATGTAATTACGAGATAACAGTGCTTTTTGCTGCATTTTCCACAGGACCAACCGTCTCCGCTGTCAATGCTTGACCTGGTCAAGCTCTCACTAGATGTCGCTTACGGCTGCCAGTATTTGGAAGATAACCACTTCATCCATAGAGACTTGGCCGCGCGGAATTGTCTTCTTACCACTAAGGGTACCGGTCGGAATGCAAAAATAGCAGACTTTGGCATGGCTAGAGACATCTACAGGTATGTTATGGCCACTGTGAATACGAGTAGATATTTAGTAGTATAGCGTCTTATAAAATTCGAAGACGATTACATTGGCGCCAAGCAACTAAAGATAACTGTTTTATGGCAAAGCAATATATGGCTAATATATCGATGGCCAAATCAGTGCCAATTCGGTGATACTTGCATGGCATCGCACACGTGTTTATGGTACTGCGTTTTTAGGGCTGACTACTACCGTAAGGGTGGCAAGGCAATGCTGCCTGTAAAGTGGATGCCGCCTGAGGCCTTCTTGGACGGGGTCTTTACGTCAAAGACCGATGTCTGGTAAGTGTTCGCCGGTCTGTTTCCCACTGTTACACGGCGAAATACCGCTTGTCTTCATCGGTCATGGTCAGGCATGATCACGAATTCAAATGCCTCTTCCACTGGGTTATTGTTTTCATCATTCCGAAAGCAGATCGGTGTTGCTCATACTAACAGGATATCTACCCTGTGATGCAAATTACTCGTGCGCTAACATGCCACTGCTACTGGTCTAACGTTATAGGTCGTTTGGAGTTCTTCTGTGGGAGGTGTTCTCTCTAGGATACATGCCGTACCCAGGAAGAGGCAACCAGGAGGTCATGCAGCTGGTGACCGCAGGGGGACGGCTAGAGCCTCCAAGTAACTGCCCTTCACAAATGTAAGTGCAGATGCGTACGTACCACGACGGTGTGGTAGGCGCCTGGTAACCCTACTCAAGAAACATAATAGCAAGGCGCGTGTGTGCGCGCGTGCGTGCGTGCGTGCGTGCGTGGGTGCGTTCGGGCATGCGCGCGTGCGTGCGTGCTTGTGTATGTGTGCATGACTGTTACTGGGCGCGCGTGTGCGTTTGTAGGTGTGTAGGTGATGTGCGTCCGCGCATGCGCGTGCGTGCGTGTATGTGTGGTTCGTGTCGCGTTACGTGAAGAGCATATATGTCATAAATTAAATCTACGCTAATTTCAGATATTCAATAATGGTGCAATGCTGGGCAGCTAACCCGGAGGACCGACCTAACTTTGTCAAGATTATAAGCACGCTACAGCAGTTAGCACAGGTGTGTATAAGAAGGCCAGCCTAAACACTTCTCTGGTCCTTGTGACTATTGAATCTGTATAACTTCTAACACAACAAATTTTTAACGGCTCATTTAACTATAACCTGTCGTATTTTGCAGGAAACCGCATATACAAACTTACACGCATATACATTATATGATATATAATACGAACGCACGCATGCACACACAAACACACACACGCACGCCCTTCCCCCACACACATACACAAACACACACGCGTGAAACTTAGGTTTTCGCGTTCGTTGACGTAGCAGAGTGAACGTAGACTGCGCGAGAGATAAGAGCGCGCGGGTGATCGTAAACCTTGCGTCGTGCTGTGAGGCACACAAAGGATCTTATTAAACCCAGTTCGTGTTCGCTCTGACTTGACGCCACTTGAGGGAGAAACGTACGCAGATAAACTCACACCAAGTCCAATAAGTAAGTGTCACACGCGAAGGATTTATTGTTGCTCATAGAACGTATACATGAGCCGAGAGTCCGCAAGAATCCATGAATTAGTAGGTAAATCTATCCGTCACTCCGTCCGTCGGTCCGTCAGTCAAGCGTCCCGTCCGTCTGTCGTTAACTAGCAAACGAGTTACATGCGTGGGCGTGCGTGACTGCCGAGCGACTGACGTGCGTCCATATATATAAGCACCTGCGACGTGACGTCACGCCAGAGGTCGCCACTGACTGCGGCGCCTCGCGTCCAGGGTCCGTAAACATGTTTTCAATGCACGTTCTATTTCGTAAACATGTTGTCGACGTACAACCAGAGTTACTTCCGTTTTCGTCCATTTATCTACCAATGCACGTCCTGTTTCGTACACGTGTCTATAACTGCATCCGTCGTCGCAGTGAAGATGGTAAACATGTTTTCACAAACACACTGCGACCATGGCTAGTCATACAAGACATAGAAAAATGTATACACAAGGAATAGCTAATAATTTCTACGCAACAATTTCGACTAATTAACAAAACACTCTACGCACTGTGTTACACGCGCACGCACGCGCGCACGCACGCACGCACGCACGAACACACACACACGCATATATATATATATATATATATATATATATATACATATATATATATACCTGACGTTCTCCGATAGCTGTGGGGGATATGCCATTAATGCATTTTCTGGATACCTGCAACGGTTATCCGTTTTAATCCCACAAAGGACGTAGCGCAAATGACCACAGCTGCTGTGGCGCTGTTGGCTAGGATAGTCGAGAACACGTGATCGATATCGCAGCCGAGAGCGTGCGATAGCAAAGCGTAGTGACGCGTCTCTTCTCTACTGCTTGCTGCTGCTGCTGCTGCTGCTGCTGCCTCTGCCGCCGCCGCCGCTGCTACTGCTTGCTGTTGCTGCTGCTGCTGCTGCCTCTGCCGCCGCCGCCGCTGCTACTGCTTGCTGTTGCTGTTGTTGCTGTTGTTGTTGTTGTTGTTGTTGTTGTTGTTGTTGTTGTCGCTGCTGCTGCTGCTGTACTATTGTTGCTACTGCTGCTGCTGCTGCTGCTGTACTATTGCTACCGCTGCTGTTGCTGCTGTTGCTGTTGTTGTTGTTGTTACTACTACTACTAGTAGTAGTGGTAGTAACAACACTAGCGACGCACCACTAGTAGGCAAGCACTCTAGGCACTACTACTACACAGTAGTAGCAGTGGTGGTGCTGGTGTTGGTGGCGGTGACGGTGGCGGCGGCGGTGGTGGCGGTGGTGGTGGTGGCGGTGGTGGTGGTAGTGGCGATGACGGTGGACGGTGGCGCGTGGGAGCGGCGGTGATGGTTGCGGCGGGCGGTTGGTGGTGGTGATGGCGATGGCGGTGACGGTGGCGGGTAGCGGTGGTAACGTGGTGTGGTGTGTGGTGGCGGTGGAGAGGAGGAGGTGGTGTGGTTGTGGTGGCGGCGCGCGGCGGCGGCGGCGCGGCTGGCCGGTGCCGGTGGCGGTGGCGGTGGCGGCGGCGGCGGTGGCTGTGCGTGGCGGCGGCGGCGGTGGCGGTGGCGGCGGTTGTGGGTCGGTGGTGGTGGTTAGTGGGTGTGGTGCGTAGTGGTTGTGTGGTTTTGGTTCGCGGCAAGCGGCGCGGTGCGGCCGGCGGCCAGTGGTGGCCGGTGCTGCCGCTGCTGCTACTAATACTGTTGTTGTTGCACCTTTTTCTGCTGCTGCTATTGTTGCTGCTGCCGCTGCCGCTGCTTCTGCTGCTGTTGTTGCTACTGCCCACCTTTTACATCTATTGTCGAGCCTAGATTGCTTTTTTTTACGCGCCATCAACATGACCAGTACGCGCATTGCCGGCTGTACTAAAACGCATTAGCAGCGGACCGCAGAGAAAACGTAACGAACATCTAAGCCCGCACAAAGATATTTCCGCGTTTTGGATTCGTTGGTTTACGATAAAATGTACAGCCACACGCGCGTCGGTTAGGATGTTTGGATTGCATATAACGGCTTGCTACTAAAAAATTAACACTAGCAGTTTGCACCTAATTTTAACTGCATTAAATCTCGAGTTAATAGTTGGCCTAACTGTTTGCCAAATTAATCAAAATTTGATAAATTATAATCTATCAGATAATTTTATTCACGCGTAACATATTAAATTGAAGCAACCAGCGTGAAATGTCAAAACATTATTGAATACATTGCAGTGTAAATATTTGTTTTCCTTTGTATTCTTTGCATTTGCTACTACATGTAACTTATTGCTGACTATATGATTATATACATGACTACACGAGCTGACTTATTAAGCTTATAAATTAGGCGTCTTTACAAATGTCGCTATATACCTGACTGTTCCCCGGCTGGTCAGTCTGTGATGCTGTTTGCTCGGGACTGAGCTGCACGCCACCGCACGGTTTGCTGTCATTGAAACGCAAAACTAATTACTTACACGTATGAAATGCCGTCACGACAATGGCTGACTTTGGAAAACTCGAGTGGGAAAGTGTCCGACTTACATATTATAGCAGTTACTCGACTACACGCAATCGTACACATTGTAGGGGGGCACGTATAGCTAACTTTTTGATACTGCGCAATTTGTGCCTGTGCTGAATGTTTATGTGATTGTGCTCGTACTCGAAAAGCGGTGTTTGTTAGCTGGAACTGAACAGCCTTGTTGAATAACGAGATAAAACGCATGACTGACTATATGAAGCGATGTGACTGACTTTATTCGTAAACACTCGATTACTGCTTGGAGTAAATTGATAGTCTGAAATGCTTTCGCAATCAACGTTCTATTGCATTGTGTTTTAACCAATAATGACAATTAAACTCGAATTTTGATATGTGTCGATTAATAGCTAATCACAGCGATCCGTTGTGTGACATTCTGTTGCTAAATGTATTCGTCAATTAAAGCGACTTCACGAATCGCTTCATTCGCGCGAGCGCGTGCACCGGCCGTTGCTTACTAGCTTGTTTGAATAACTGCATGACACCGTCTGACACTAGCGCCCCCTTTGTTTGCCTGTAGGAGCCCGGGTTAGTGCACGCGCCTCTGCCGGTATTCTACTGTCCGCCGTGTGTGGAGCGTGAGGCGACCCTCACCCGAGCCGCCGATGATGTGTGCTTGCAGGTTCAGCGACCGGCGACGCTCGACGCGCTCACCTCGCCGACGCTTGCCGACGGCCTGCTGAGTCAGGACGAGCTCAAGGCGTGCGGCAGCGTCGATGAGCTGAATCGTCTGCTGCACAGTAACCCGTATGAGGTGCCGCGCGACACGGCGTCGCCCGTCAAGCAGAAGACTGTGCGCTCGCTGTCGGGCAACAACAGCAGCAGCCGCGGTTACACGAGCGTGCCGACGAACGAGCCGATGTGCGAGGAGGCGGACACGCTCAGCGACAACCTCTACCAGAACCCGTCGTACCAGCACCACCGCACAAGTAGTCTCGGCTCGGCGTCGTCGGGCGACGTCGGCGCGAGTCGGTCGCCGTCGTCGACGATCTCGCGCAACAAGTACAACCTGAAGAACGCGCCGAGCGGCGGCGGCGGCGGCGGCGGCGTCGTCAGCAATCGGTCGCTGGATCAGACTAGTTCGAGCCGATCGGGTGGCTCGGCCGACCTGGCGGCGAACGAGAACGCGTTGCTCGGCGTCGCGTATCACAGCAACAGGGACGTGTCGCCGGCGAAGGTGCCGCCGCCGCAATACGAGAACATCAGTGTTAAAAAGGATGTGCCAATGTCTATGTGGAACGGAAACCACGCGGCGAATGGACAGGTGCCAACGATCCACACGACGGAGATATGATTGTGTCGGCGCTACACGGCAGATGCGACAGTCAACGATGTGTCTAGTTTAATGTGATATGCAGCAACGTCCGTGGAACAGGTATCGCAGAGACAATATGGCGGCGATGATGTGAGAAAGAATAATGTCCGCCACGGAGTTACGACAAAGACGCGCGTGTGTAATCAACTAAACAGCGTGTAAAAGTAACAATTCATAATGTGCAGTTATTTATTAGTATGTGATTATTGTCTCACGAGTAATTATATAAGCTATTATATCTCATCAGTTCGTATAAACGACAAAAATCCTCGATTTGCTTTACTTACCGAAAATATTAGAATGAACAGTAGACATTCTGTGTGCGTGAAGTGGCGTGTGCAACTCTGTACATATTTGCACACCATGAATTCACTCTTCACGTGACAGCATCGATATTGATCGTGAAGTTCGAGTACGCTAGACAACTACGACCTTTCTTTCTCATTAGACGAACAGGAATACGATCGAACGTAACCACGACGAGGCTCGTTGCATCAAGAGACAACGATTGTTCCGTAGCCGTGGCATGAACGATCTGATACACGGCTGTGACACGTCTTGCCGCTTATTGTGTGCGGTCGACATACAACTCTGATAGTAGTAAAAGGTAGTCGCATAAGCATATCTATTGTAGATATGTTGACGCTAGTAGTTGGAAAGACCTGTTTATGCGACAAGTGCGGCGGTAATTAGAGAAGGACTCGGTTGTCATGTATGTGAGCACGCACTGTTTTGTTAACAAAAATTTATATATATATATATATATATATACAAGCGAGTGCGCATCTTATAATAAGAATACCATTAACCAAGAGAATTGTAATAGTCTGTATATGCTGTTTATTGATCTACTATACTGGACTAGTATATATACAAACGCCGACACGTGGCGCACAATATTAATAACAATATACAACTTAGAATTTAGACCGACATGCGAAATCTCATATTTGCCACTAATTCGACTCGTTTTTTTAGATATATTATGCCAAATCTGTAGTTTGTCTGGTTTACTCCACGTGGGTGTAAACTTTAATTGGGCGTGGTACAATCAAGACGAGAATAGCAATCAACTGGATATAGTGATGACAATAAATCTCTTGTTTAATGGTAGGCCTAATATAGATATTGCGTGAATGCGTTTTGCATATACACGACTGCGTGAGCCTGTACCACGTCTAAAACCTATGTTGCCTATAATATAAATATAGAATGGGAAGCCACACAGTTATGTGTTTTACTCCAGGCGATTTTTGGGTCGAACCAGAGTTACATGTGATTAGGTCAGTATATCTTGTTTCAAACGCAGAACAAGAGATCTTATTCGGCAGGTTTTGTTTAGTAGTTATCTCTACTTATAACCGATTAAAAATAGCTGATTATTCACAGCGTTGCTTACTATCTTGGACCTTTTATCGTGCACGCGAGTTTCTGTCTAATTGTTGGCTGTAGATGTACTGTCTAATCTCAGATCATGCATATGAAATACTTTTTCTACGGCTAGAACGTCTCCTTTCGTTGTGGGAAAGACAAGATCCATTAGTATGAATATTTAATAGTGAGACCCAACGCTTACATATCATAGTCTCGCTGCGTCACAGTATATTGATCGCGTCTACTCTCAAATGTTCCATCCATGCCCTATTTTAGTATTTCGATTTTTGATATATACTCATGGGTGACAATAATATTCGTCACGATTTATCTACAGCTGTATGTAATAGCTACACGGCCGCTAATCCAATCCGTGACCCGTGAGTAGAGTAGATAGTGTGCAGTTAAAGAAAGGTCCGCTTCTAAATAGATTGTATAAGAACGGTAAAGAAATTGGCTGCGGTACGCAGCGAAATAACACATCATGATCATGCGTTCACTTGTTAATATAATTGTTGTGTTTGTGTAAGTTATGAAATTTGGTGAATATTCATGTAGACAGCCATTATTAGCGGATATCTGTGGTAGGGGCCTACTGAGAGCTAACCCCTTATGATAGTGTTTTGGATTGTTGTGGAATTGTTTTTGATACAATAACCAATGAATGTATAAGCGCAAGTTAATCGCGTAGGAATATTTTAATGATCCATCCTTGCGAATTAATTGGAAGAATTCATGTTGAAATGAATCTCGATGTTGCGATAAAAAATATAATTTGTGTACATGATACAAGTACTACTTTCTGAACTGACCTAACTACTATCACTGATGTCCTTGTTCACTACGGTATTTGCTGGTAGTGCTATTGCTGTTATTGTTATTGTTGTTGACGCTGTTGTTGTTGTTGTTACTGCTGATGTTGCTGGTTTATTGTTTGCGTCGTAGTTAAAGTGTTATCATGGGCAAGACACAGTAAGTGAAGGAATATATCTTGCTGCTAACGTGACCTGGATACGAACACAGTATATCGTTATTCAATAAGTTAGCAATGCTCTGGCATCTCATAATATCCCTATCATCGTTTCGTATGTGTGAAGGTCGCATGAAATTGATTACGCTTCATTTCAATTTGCGCTTTCATACGACGTCTTTGAACATGACATAGCACACTGATACCACGGAAAATAAGATGGACCATGGGACAATTCTCGGTGTGATCCGATTCATATGCTCGTGAAAAATGCAAAATTATGGTTTGAACTTTTTTCCCATTTGATAAGATATGTCATATTCTAAAAAGTCCTCGAATTTTCTGTTAACTAATGTCATCCAGCTCTACGCGGTTCTTTATAGTATAAGTATTTATGTAAGGATTATCATGCGTGAAATATTTGTAAATAGTTTATTTTTGCTTTGTAACCGTCCAGTCCAGTCTTCTTGATGAAGGAAGACTGGTCGTGACTTCCTCTCGATTTTGAAACTAGTATTACTAATTATTTAAGTAGCAGAAAGAAATATAAATGTAAACTAAGATGCGTGCGCATGTATTACGAAGAGGTTCGCTACTAAACTGTAATTATCAATATCGTATTTATTTAGTGCAATAATTAAAATAGACGTTCTGTTCTAAATTGTTGTAAATATATATCGCGGAGGATTAAGTGGGCGCAATTGTACTTACCCGAGCCGAAAGCAGGGTCGGAAGTATGTTAATTATGCCGTTCAGATGGCAATGGATTGAATAGGGCATGTTGATATGTTATGTACAGAGACCGAATTGCAGTATTTTGATATTTTTGCATCACAAGTATTTATGAAACTGTTAGACGCAGAGCGTCCGATAGCGAGCTCTGGCCCTTGTTTTTCACGCTCCGAGAGGGCGTGATATGTGAGATATATATATGTGAGCGGAAGGGAACATGCGCGATGAATGAACACAGTATTATGATGCATTAACACGCTGGGACGCTTAGCGAGTGAATATCTATTGTTTTCGACTAGGACTGCGCAAAAGCCGACGCAGAAAATTATTTTAGCATTTTTGCAATGGTTAGAGGAAGGTATGAACGCAATAACAAGTTTACCGCTTTACAAGAAGTGAATAATATCGGGTTGTATTTGTAGCCATGGACGGCTGATCAACTCTATAGAATATTAAGAAAATATAGAAATGCTACCAACTTTTTCGCCATATTCCCTCCCGTGTCAGAAAGGCCGCTTAGTTGTATGCGTTACATGTATCAACACCGGCATAAACGTATTTCACTCAGAACGGTTTTGTGTATATGTGTAGGGCAGGTTTTGTATGTTAATTTAGCTATCAGGCATGCATTGTGATAGTGCAGCGCCACGCGGCAGGGTCACGTGGTCATTTACGCCGTGTGGAACGTTCGGTTTATACTGGAGTCAATACCAGAAACGTGTCTTATGATCTTAAAATGTAGTTATTTTTACTAAAAATAAATGCGCCCCATACAGCCGTCAGTGTAACACAGCGTCTTGTCGATATCTTTTGTCTTTTTGCTCATCCTTATCGCGCTTATCTAACGACCGGAAGCTGCAGGGATATACAGAATCTAACGTAACACACACAAATCAGGGGGCCGTTGTCAGAAACATCGTAGAGTTAATGCTAAGATAGCACTTAATGCTAATGTTAACTAATGTTAACTAATGTTAACTAATGTTAACTAATGTTAACTAATGTTAAGACTAATTTTGTTTCTGACAACGGGCCCCGGGTAGCTAGTAATTCAGAAGTATCCGGCGGTATTTCATTGTAGCAAGTCCTTCGTCCGTATCCATCTTTTACCCCTACAAGCGATTCATTTAGCACACCCACACGCACGCACGCACGCACGCACGCACGCACGCACGCACAGAGAGAGGGAGGGAGTGAGAGCGCGCGCGAAAGGTATCGAAATCACCATATCGAATAAAGCTTGAATATTGACACAGTAACACACTAATGTTATTATCTGTCGAAACAATGAATAATTGTTGGCAGTGTTTGTGATATGATTATCACGAAATGTAAAAAACAATGTGTCAGTACGGTAATCGAAGAATTTAGTGTCTAGTAGCCTACTACACATTAGCGCTGTTACTGCACCATTGTTCTATATTGATTTATACGATTTTATTATAAGATATCGAGCAAAGCATGAATACAGACATAGTATCATACTAGTACGTTGGGTTTCTAAAGAAACGACGTAGAAATGTAACCCCCTAACATTTCAGCCCATCGAAAATTAGCGGTATTTGTGCTGTTATGCCGGGTTTTACAATCCCGTTTCTTCGCTTTATTTGAAAGTAAAATTAGGCGTGAACACGTCTACGGACAGCTGAGGCAAATATAGATTGCGCGCTGAGCGCGCAAAACTCATTTTTATTTCGATTTATACAATGCGGTAATAATCTCGTTAAGACTAACTGCTTACAAATCAAATAAATATATATTTAGAATAATTAGAAGTCTTAGGTGCATAGTTGCAGATAATGTTCTCGTATAGTACACGCGAAGAATTCCTCTACGGAAAGAGTCAAACCATCACCAATTTACTTTACCTTACGCATAGCTACAGTGCTATGAGAAACCAGCTAAATTTTCTCGTAAGACAGGAACTACAAAACTAATTAACTAACAGATGATGTTTTCCGCCTCTAACAGTCTCAATTACTAAAAAAACAGCGGAAGGAAAACAAGCAAAAGCATAAATTCCATCCCCGCAGTTCGATTACTCAGTGTCTAAAAATTAGTAAATAAATTACCACGTTGACCCCATATAAGAACGCGTGAACTTAATATAACATCTAACAGCTAAGGCATGTCATGTTACATTACCCTAATCACTGACGCGAATCGAACAGCGGCGCGAACCGAACCAAACCGCGACTAAAGCCAAACCGAACCATGATTACCTAGCTTATTAAACAAATTAATTTAAATTGGATGTTCCCGCTCTCTTCCACGCACACGCACGCACACGCATACAATCAAACACACGGACACGTACACGTATACGCTCGCGCACAGAGCACGCACATCATGCGCCCACACACTACTGCAACACTGAATACAGCCTAGCCTACGTGACACGAGACGGGTCTTGAAATATTTCTTCGTATTCAGATTAGTGATAGAATTCACTGAGGAAATATTATAAGGAACCGAACATGAAAATCCGTAGCCAACTCGGCCACCATAGTATAGAGTTCCAGATGCGCTGATATGCAATAAAATATCAATTTCCTAAGATGTCAACAAAAATCCGATGTACTCAAACCCCGTTTGCCCAACACAAATTGTTTTTACTTCCCCCATCGAGCTCCACATGAAAACGCCTATGCTAGACTTCATTCCATTCCATGTAGATCGCGTTTGAATTGCCGGTAACTTACTTTAACAAGATATCATAACAAGAGCCGCAGAGCGCCTGGGCTCATTCTGAGGTCTGTTGCTACGGTTATAAACGTAACATTTAAGTCGTGCGTAGTGACACCTTTGTTAGGCGCAGATATGCAGATACGCAGTTGCGTACACATCATTTCAGCAACCTTCTGCATTCTGCATAAGTCCCATTGGTTGTTGATACAAATCGCGTGCCTGAAACTCCTGTTTTATGGTGCATTGTGACCATGGTGCTTGTGTAAAAATTATTTGTTGTTATTAAATTTTTGTAAATAAATCATGTAAATATTTGCGTTAATTGGAAAAAAATAGTTAAATGGATAAAGATAGAAAAATACAGAAAACAGGTAAATAATAAAAAACCTGATGGGATTCGATCCAAGGACCTTTGAGCCGTGACGCCTGCGATGTACCCGTTCGGCTATCCAGGCTTATTGGCTTTCTAGATTATGGATATGCCATGAATATGAGAACACTGTGACATCATTGAGGCAGTTCAGGAATCCATGTTTAACCCTCCTCTTGAGGGTCAAAAGGTTATCAGACACTCACTCTTCGCACGTCAGTGGCAAGCACATTTCATGGTCCTTTCAATAAAGTGATAAAAATGGTAGGTGAGCGCTGAAACAAAAAAGTTTTCCACTTTGACCGTTAGGCCATGTCCTCAGAAAATGTCTGATATGTGACCTTTCCCCCACTGCCCTTTGACCTGTGACCTCCAATTTCGCACTGGTGATGGGTTTCGTGCCCATCACACTATACACCGAATATTAAGAGCATAGGTGGAGCCGTTAAGATTTGTGCTGCAATTCCGTATTTCCTCCTATACCTTGGGTTAAGGGGGAAATATTCCTCCTCCGTTTACACATCTTGACCTTTGACCCGACCCCCAAATTTGTCATCCTGAGTCATTTTCACGTTCCCCCCCCCCACGTCCCGAATATCATGACCGTATGTGGAGCGGTTAAAATTTGTGCTTAACTGTTGACGGACGGACGCACGGACAATCATGCGATTCTACAAGCTGCATCTGACTTCGTCAGATGAGCTAAAAATGAATATACCTTTCTGCATCTAACTGATGTGCAATTAATTATTCTGTGAATGTGATCATCCACTATTCTCTTCCTCCTCTCTGACAGGTACTAGCTTAAGTATCAAATTCTCAGTTGTAAAGGTAGACAGTGTTAGCGATTGCATGCACAAGCCACTATTCAGGATCGTACATCATAAGAACGGTGAGACGTTTATTCATGAAATAAAGATGCACATTTACAAGAAAACACTTGACAGCTCTTACACCTTTAATGTACACTCATACTCAGTTTTAAAGTTTAAATGAAAAACTTTTACCCAAACTCTTAGGGTTTAAATTTTGGACGATTTTGTAAAATGTACAAATATAGGTATATATGATTTATATTTTTCTAATCTATATCAATATAGATGTTGTGTTTACAACAACAATATTAATTCTTGATATTACATGCCTGGATCATACCTAATCTATAACTTGCTATCAATGTGAACACTCTAAACAAAACGTTTCCCTTATTAGTTTTATAAAAACACATTCATATACCATGATCATAGTGTGCTTCTCTAAAAATTAACAGCTGACCAATCTATAAATAATATGCATGCATGCATACATGCGCGCGTGCGTGCGTGCGTGCGTGCGTGAGCTAACTTAACGTAACTCAATAGCAGTTCATCTTACATAATGAAAGTGAAGTCATACTCTAGAGCATCTAACAGAATCGTAAGCATGGTGAAGGTCAGTCAGGATCTGACAGAAAGTAAACAAGAAAGTCTAGTGGCTTGCAAATGCCACACGGTGATATCTGCAGGTATAACCTCATCAATACGAAAAAGCAGGACCATGTACAGAAGATTACAGAGTGCACTCTTTACACGTGGTTCTTCTTTGCTTTCACTCACGAAACCCACACAGATAGTGAGACTACGAATAACTTGACAGCACATTGAAAAAATGATAGACCTCGCTGGCATCATACACAGCTACTTCAGTTTTGCACACTCCACACATAACCGGATGAAATCGCTCAACATCGCCATCACTCTTAGACTCGAGCTCGACTTCTGCGTTAAGTGACCGCCGATGTTGACGGGTCTTGCTCGGGTACTTAAGATATTGTGTCTTGTCAACACGACAGTTGAAAACAAACATCGCTCGGTACTGGTTCTTGTACGTTTCATGTCTGAAAGTACATAAGGACATTAAATATACAAAAAGGCTTACCCTCCCCCAACCCGTTCCCTCGCAGCTTCAATATCACCAAAGCAATTACGCAAAGTGATTGCGTTTATCTGCCGTCAGCTTTTGCGACCACCACCACTGCTAGAACTACAGCAATGTAATAGCATACAGTGTCCCTCAGCAAGTAACAAATTTTTTTGGGTTGTCATATACTTGGTCCTAAATATCAACTATATTTTATTTCTATTTGATATATTTGGATCAACTGATTGTAAGTTGAGCCAGCCTGTTAAAGATCCAGTTGACCTTCAACAGCTACTTGGCCATTAATATAAAGTATACTTAATGCTCTTTCAGATGTAAGAAACATTATAGGTTACAGATACACCTGGATAGCTCACCAAGTCTATAAAATCACATCACGAAACTGTGTGAAGTGTGAAGAAGAACAGTGTCAGTATAGTAATTAACTAGAAATGGCAGTTGTCGCCAACCACATGTATCCCCCACGATATAGTATGAATGAAATATCTCCTGGTTTTGGTACGCGACACAACTTCTCCCCAAGATGTGTAAGTATACCAAGTATTGCTAGCGCGCGCGGGTCAATTAGGGGCCGCGTTATAGAGCGGAAGGAAAATATGATTAAGGTCAAGGTCAAATAAGTCGCAGTGACCTGGTGTTGGTACGCGACACACCTTCTCCCCAAGATGTGTAAGTATACCAAGTTTAGCTAGATCAATTAAGGGTCGAGTTATAGAGCGGAAGGGAAAGTGTCTGCGGCTGCGGCGGCGGCAAGCGGTGGCTGGACAGACATGAAACCATAGTATCATATATATAGTTTATATATATATATATATATATATATATAGTATAGTATATAGTATATAGCCGACTTCGTCGGGGAGATACAATTTCCAGAAGAAATGTGATAGTTGTCATGACAACAATCATAAAATGTGCTGGTGACATAGTGCAGTGACGCACACGTTGTGCAAAATACATGTGCAAGAAGATCATAGGCTTGGAGATGAGGGGATTTGCTTACAGTTGGCAGTCCATGCACAACAAGGTCATACACGCAGGACAGTTCAGTACAGCATCACTCGAAGGAAGAGGCTTCACTGGCTTGCCAACCTTTTTCGTTCCATTCTGCTAAATAGTGCATAAAATCAAAGGGGGATATAAAGTTAATTGATCAGTAGTACTATGTACTATTTAGGCACAAAGATTATAGACCATACTTTACTGCTGTGATAATGAGATACATACTAAAAATATACAATTGGTTACAATGACATGGAGCAAGATTTATATACTTGTATGACAATATCGTTTGAAGCTTGCTTTCCCTGGGCAACCCTGAGATACAAGAAAGATGAGTGTATGTGAGAGAGAGCAAGGGAGGAAAAAGGGGCGAGCGAGATAAGGGGACAACAATAACAATAGATAAGGAGGGAACTGGGAGACCGGGATGAGGAGGGAAGGAGGAAGGGAGTGAGAGAGAGAGAGAGAGAGAGAGAAAGATTTACAGAATAGGAGAGAGAAACTGGATGATGTATAGTATGTTAATATTAATAGTAAAGTAAGATATACCCATCATCCCTGCTCATCATGCACAGCTCCGCACATGGTGATAAACATGTGATATTAGGTATATTTACATAAAAATTGTGTTCTTTAACCATCATGTGATATTTACAGCAAAAAACGTGGGAGAAAAAGAAGGGTATGATAGTACGATGCTTGACTGCAATGTGAAATTCCTAGGTTTAAATCAATAAAATTCATTGATTTCATAGAAATGTCCACTGTCCAAAGCACTGTGTCATTTTTGTTTACATTACCGATTACGTCGTAAACCACTAACCTAAACTACGACAGCCGTCAGACGAGTTAAAAGAGAATGCAAAACTAGGGACTTTAAAACCTTGCTTAGATATTGCTGCCTCTGTTCATCCATCCAGTTCTGGTCATCGTCATCCATGCCAGGATCATAAAGGAGATCTTCGTCAGGTATCACAGGATGTCTTTTTCGTGGCTTCTTCTCCTTTGTCTTGTTTTCCTCCACTGGCTGGGATGCATCTATGGACAGAAGAACATAAAACGTATAAGGCACTCTATAAAATATTATTATTTAGCACATTTTCACTCGCATTAAATGTTTCAGTATTAGTTTTAAGTGTAACCCAACATCAACAGTTGGGAATAATAAGTCTAAATGAAAAATACCACTAGAATGATAGCAGCAATTATTCAGCTTAGAGCAAATGCAGTAAGTACTAGTCTAGCCTAATGGTAAAATATTCTGAATAACTCATAAACGACAAATCTTTATTCTCCCAGCGCAGCATCGCCATCCCCTCACTGTTAAGTAACAATTACTCTTTGGAAGATCCAAGTTCAAAGGAACCCCACCCAAGCTAACACCACAATAGGAAATACATACCTAAATAGATCCTTGCATATTCAGGGGTAGAAATTAGTTTGAAAATTTACAGGCCCGCCGGGCCTGTAGGTAAGGGATTTTACAGGCCCGCCAGGCAATTTACAGGCCCACATCATTTCCTAGATACCGCAGAATTTTTTTTAAATAAAAGACGGAAATTTGAAATTTTTACAATGGTTTACGTTCGTACGCACAAACAGGCATTTAGGTACGTCTCCATCATCATCATACACGCGCACGCGTTCACACACACCCACATCATTTACTGTGTGGATCACACATCTTGAATGATAAAGCTAATGCTTAGGACATATAGGGCAGAGAAAAACAACGCTCCATAGGGTCAGTTAGTTGACTTCATGGCAAGAGCAAATAAAAAGGTTGAGTAATGTAAACATCTATTGGAACCAGCCAAATCAGGCAAAGATAGGGTCGAGTTTTTCCTGGCAGTCATGAAAGTTGAACACACACACCCCACCTCACATCACCTACACTCACATCACCTCACACACACACACACACACACACACCCATACACTCACCTCATCTTGAGTTTGTGGCTTGCTGGATATGCATTGACTGCTTTAGTCACAGCTTGCCATGTCTTTTTATTAACTACAGCTGCCAGTTGCCAGCAAAACTTCCAAACAGTCATCTTTCTCTGTCCCACTTCATAAATTATGAAGTCAATTTCCACTGCGGAAATATTCCTATTCTTCCGTCTCTTTTACAGTTGCCGTGTATATTTTAAATAACTTTGCTCTCACCACAATCTTTGAGAATGGTGCTATAGGAGATGGGTGGCAGTGAAAAAAATACACGGGGGCTCGGGGCGACTTAGCCCCCGAAATGCCAAAAAGAGCCCCGGAAATGCCAAAAAGAGCCGCCGGAAATTTGCATAGAGTTCAATGCAAACCAAATTTTAGAGTGCTATTTTCATGCACACGAGCTTGAAAAGTAGCCCCCAAAAAATAAATTGTATTTTTTTCCCCGATGGGTGGCTATTAGGAGACGGTGGCTAGTTCATAAATGCTTGCTTTACGATACCTTACGCGAACCCACGAACTGCAGCAGAGCAACGATATAATAAAGTTCATACTTGGACTAGGTGTGTTATTGTACTTTGGGATTTTGAAAAACCAACATTGATTACCAATCTGATATTTAGATGACATTCTTCTTTTAATGCCAACATCCTGCCTGCTGTGCTAGATGGTGTACAGAATATCAGGAGACAGGAAGCTATGCAAATGATAAAGCACATCACAAAGGTGTTTTACGTAAACCAAGTTTGGTCATAACGTAGGGAAGCTTTTATTTAGCGCCACCCTGTATAAAATGTATATAGTTTTTCCAAACGTTAAAAACAATATGACACGGTTAAACCTGAGCAGTGCGACGAGGCTGTACTGCTGTTTGCATGACTAGCAGGAAGTAATACGACGTGCTTTGCAGCTACAGTGACTTATGTGTGTTAACTTGAGACAATTATTATTATTTACTGTATAATTCAACATGCTATATTACCTAAATCTTCTTAATATTATTTTAAAACAGTATACTGATCGTTCGTTAACTACCAGTGATACTTTATTATTTACATCCAAACGTGAAATGCGCGGGGATGTGCGAATTACTCCACAACCTATCGCAAGTGAACAGTGAGCGTGCACGTAAATAAACCTTAGTAAAAATAACTCTTATCGATTTTTGGTATGCCAACGCTGCTAGTCTGGATTCAGGAACCTGTGCTAACCTGTACGTCCGAACATCCCACGCACGTTTCTTGAATGCGAACTAAAGAGGTGTTCTACATTTTCTGTGTACACACTTGCGCATTTCTTCTTGAATCTGACGCTGAGATCACTAGTGCATGCTGCTAGTTGCATGCTGGGGGTGGATTTTCTATGGGCCCGTTAGGCCTGCTAGTATTAACAAGAGCCGCAGAGCGTCTG